AAACCCACTACTCTGTATAGCGAGCATGCACTGTCAAAACATGGGAAGTCCTGTCTAACACCTGAGAGACTGCCTAGTCCAGGCTGGGCATATCTCCTGCTGGCCATGGGGGAATGGAGAAGAACACCTTGCCTCACAGAGCTTGGGGCTGGGGGAAGGGGCAGACACTGCACAGGTCAGCGAGGGAAACAGAGTATGTCAGGAGGCAATAAATGCAATGGGAGAAATTAAGGAAAAAGAATAAGGGGTCCAGCTCAGGGAAAGGAGGCACAGTGGGTGAAGGTTTGGAGAGTGATCAGGGCTGGCCTCCCTGGGAAAACTTCAGCACAGTCCTGGCAGAGGAGAGAGGGGCAGCTTGCACTTGGCTCAACCACAGAGGTCCAGGGCACAGTCAGTTTTGAGTACATAGACTTGTAAAGACTGGCGGGATCCTTTTGTATAGACAGTACAGTCTCTGAATTCCTTGTCACTTTCAATTAACCGTGAGCACACCCAGCCGGCTCATAAGAGAGAGATTCCTGTGTTTCTTCCCTCTTGGCAGCCAGTGGTGCCAAGGCTTCTGGGCAGAGCCCTGAGGCTGCAGGCACCTGCAGGGGTGGTGAGAGCTGTAACCCTTGCTCTCCCAGGTGCCCAGAGTCCGTTGTTCCTTTCCCTTTAAAGTAATGGGATGCAGAGGCAGTGCCACAGTTTGTTTCTGCTGTATTTGTATTTGGCAAGTGTATTGGGTATTTGTATTTGGGTAAAGATGTATTTGTATTTGGGTAAAGCTTCACTCATTTGGAAGCAAAATAGCCCATTAGAGGTACAAATGTAATCTTTCTCTGGAGTTTAAAAGTATTATACTGAGGCAGGAGGATTGCCATGAGTTCAAGGCCAGCCTGTGCTACGAAGTAAGTCCAAGGCCTGACTGAAATTCATAGCACGACAGGGCCTCCAAACAGTGTTATAATTTTGTTCAGTGCTCAGAGTGGCCATATTTGGAGTGAGGATATTAACCAAAGAGGTACATGTTTTTGTCAATCACTATATTTTTATTACAATGGCATTTGTAGTTTCTGGTTGTCTGCTCCTGTTCTACCAAGTGACTCGTTTCTCCCCCAGCAATGAGCTCTAATTTAGGGAACAGGAGGAGGACACACAAGCCCCTTGAGGAGACAGCAGTGTTTCTCCTGTTACTGCATCCCCAGTTCCCTAACCTGGTGCTGGGCCCAAATGAGAGCCTCCATGGAGCTGCCAAATGGGTGAATGGCTCCTAAGCCATGGTACAGAGAAGACCTGGAAGGGGTATGGGCTTGGCCGCATTGCGTAGGAGTAGGAGAGGCAAGATGGGCCACCATTCCTCCCCAACTAAGCTCTGGGAGGATGGGAACCAAGTGTAATGTGTGTTTCTAGTGGCACAAGGGCAGAGGAGGGGTGAGGATATGAGGCATCCGCAGAACAGTGGCAGCTGTGTGCAGTCGTGAACACCTGGATGCTGAGAGGCTGAGGCAGGAGGACTGCAAGTCTGAGCCTGGCCTGGACAACCTGGCCACACCCTGACTCAAAACCGAGTTTAAAGGGGAGCAGGAGGCAGGGCTTAGCTGAGCACTGAGGTTCTGAGTTCCATCTCTAGTACCGCAGAACAAAAAGAAAAAAATTGTCACATACTTTGAGCCCTCAGGACTCTGGGCTACTGTAGTGAATTACCACCAACTTCACAACATCGACACAGAAATGAAGAGGATAAAGTATGTAAAGCAGTGGTCACAGAAATTGCTAAAAAGCCTCAGTGGACCCTCGCTTTTTCCCTGAATGCATGCACTCTGAGAGGCAGTGTAGATAGCAATTCTAGCAGCGGAGTAGGGCTGGGCTTCTGGGCCTGAACTGCAGCTTCATCACATCAGCTCTGAAGTTTTAAGAAAGTTCCTTAATTGTCCTGAGCCGCAAGTTCCTCAGCTGTGAAAAATAGGGTACTAATACTTACCTCACCATGCTACTGAGGACTGAACCAGCTGAGGCACGGAAACCTCAGAGAGCGCTATCTGGCACCCTCACCCCCAGGAAGCGCTAGCTGTCCTGGTCACCATCATCACTGGGTGCTGGGTACTTTCTGGTCTCACCTACTTCCACCATAAATGGACAGAGAGGGCAGGCACGTGTGAGGCGTGAAGGCTGAGGACATGGGGCTGGACGGCTGACCTGTCTCTCCTCACAGTCAGGGTTCCCAAGCCCAAGCAGACACCCAACTTGATTCACCACCTCGAGGCTTCTAACACACACCTACATCCCACCCTAACTGTGTCTGATCTAGCACGTCTGGGTGGCCTCAGCTTTACATGGCTAACAAGTTCCCAGCTGGTGCATATGCCCGCTGATGAGAACATGCCCAAGACTCCTGGCCATTAACAAGAGGAGGCGCCAGGCGGGGCCTGAAGGCACATGCCTGTTATCCCAGCATTTGCGGCAGGTGGAAGCTTAGGATCAAACCCACCCCGGGTTACCCCGTGAGACGTTGTCTCAAAAAAAAACAAAAAAAAAAAAAAACAAAACACAGATGTCAGAAGCTCCAAGAGGAGGAGGAAGATCACAAAGGAATAGGAGCCTTGAAAATGTCCTGCATAAGCACAGAGTTCAGGAAACCACTGGAATGAGCGTTTGTTCATTCATTTATTCAGCAAATATGAACTGGATTCCCATTGTGAGCGGCAACCCATCTATCAGTTGCAAGGACAAGATTTAAGCTGAACAAACACTGAGCTGAGAAGACTAATGATTTAGTGAATTAAACTGCAGCAGCAGTCTAAGAAGCACCAGTATCCTCACTAGGCCTAACACTAAGCATTGTGGGGTTTTTGCATCTGGTAGAATACATTTATACCTAAAGCAAAACTTACCATTAAGTGTACAGTGCAGTGGCATTAAACACACCCACACAGCTGTATAACCACCACCACCGCCACTATTTATCTCCACAACTTTCTCATCTTCCCAAACTGAGACACCATATTGCTTAAACAATAATTCTCCAGTTCCACTTTCCCCTGGCCCCATTACCGTTCCCTTTCCTATCCCTGTGAATGTTTGGCTCTGCTAGGCAGCTCGTGTGAGTGTGGTCATACATTCGTCGCTTCATGATTGGCTGATTTCACTTAGCATAATGCCTTCAAGCTTCATCGATGTTGTAGCATGCATGATGGTTCTCTTCCTTTTAAGGCTGACTGATATTCCTGTTCCCTATAAGTCATATTTTGTCAGTGACATTTGGGTTGTTTCCATCTTTCACGGATCATGCTGCTATGAAGATTGATATACAAATATCCGTTCACAATCCTGCTTTCAATTCTTTGGGGTTTACACCACTAAACCTCACTAGGAAGCTGATCAATTTTATTTCGGTGACAATTAGGATTGCAGCTCCCGCCCTCCACACACAAAGGTTTCTTACTGGACCTTCACCTCTGCTACCACTCTGATACCCAGGCTCTCAGCCACCACAGGGGTCAGTCACCTACATCTCTAGGCAAATTGTCACACAACAAGCTGGAGGGATTCCACGGGAGTGCCCCCACCCCGTTGGCAGCCTTGGCAACCTCACTGTTCATTGCCCAAATGCACCTGTGCAAGAAGCGCTTGCAGTACTGTGGGGAAGTTGGCCATGGGATGCCCTGACAGAGGGGGCTGGCTCTGCTACCTACAGGGCTTGAGTGAGTGATTTAATCTCTCTGGTTTCAAATTTCTAGTCTGAAAATGGAGATAACAGCGTGTATGTACTAGAGCTGTTGTTCTGAGAATTAAACAGCAATAAACTAAGCAAAGTTTGGATAAACTGAGATAAGGTAAAGCGCTTACCACACTGCCTGGCATAAAGGAAGGACTTGGCAGATACAGGCTGTATTAGCGGTCACTTCTAACATATGCCAAGGACTTCTTTGCCATAGAAGGACATTACAGCAAGTATAGTCTCACTAGGCCAGAAGCCTAGAATCCCCACACAATAGCAGACACATTTTCTAAAATCATAAGATTCCAAATTACAACCTGGTCCCCATGGATTAAAAGATGACTTCAGAGTGGGAAAGTATTTGGCAGCAGAGTCCTCCGAGGAGCCGTCCACTGTCCCAGAGTCTCTAGCAGCCAACTGTGAGTTGCATGGATTTGTCCTGAGTCTTTTCTAAAGTCAGTTTGCAAATGCCAGATAAAAATAAATTCCAGAACAATGGAAACTGGAAATGAGAAATGCTTACAACAAACTGGGCCAGGCCTCCCCCTTGATCACCCCAGTCCTTCGGGATGTGTTCTGACAACTTGGCAGCCCCTTTCTAAGCCGCTGCGAGGGGATGGCATTCCCGCCACTTCCCCTGGAAGGGCGTTCCATGGTGAAATCCGACTCACCGTCAGGGCCTCGCCTTTGAGACTCCCTTTCTTCTCCTGACCCACTTTCGTCCGGCTGTGCCCTTTTGTACAAAGGCAAAGGAAGCCTGCCCTGGAGGGGCTTGCTCTGCAGGCATGGACATTCAGACCAACACCAGTTCTTAAACGCAGCCCTGTTCATTCAGCCAAGCAAAGCATGTGTAATTCTTTTAATCTCCCTCATAAATCAGTCTCTACGTTCCCTTAATAGCCCTTCTCCCACACTTTGAACTCTCTCCAGTCTGGCTGTCCTGAGCTCTTGTTCCCCGTACTCAAGAATTACCAGTCAACCTCACAGCGCCCACGCAGGGCTTTGCCAGGCTCCTGCTCTCACCACACACTGCATCACCTGCTGCCAAGGGCACCAGCACCAGGGAGGAGCGGCGTGATCAGCTGGGACAGAGCGGCCAGCGCTGCTCAGACAGACTCCCGGCATCTGGTGCCTGCACTCCAGTGGCCTTTGGAAAGGCGGACCAGCTCAGGCAACTGCAGAGGCCACATGGGTAAGACATTCAGGCCTCTCCTGTTCCACACTCAGCACCTCCACCTTGCACATGGCTGCTGCCTGCAGTGAAAGCAGAGCCATGAGAGAAGCCTAGCTGGGGTCTTACCTGGAAGGTACCAGCGTGGTCCTCCTCCTTATCACCCTCTCTGTTCTCCTTGAGGGCAATTAATGTGAAGCCTCTGAAGTAGGAGGGCGGGGCAGCGGAAAGTGTCACTGTGGGAGAGAAGAAAGCAATTATTGAACATAGGAATCAGCTGTGCTGCTGGTCAAATGGATGGAAGTGCATTCTCTATCAACATCCTACACCTGGGGGGCAGAGCGCAGAGGATGCTGGGAAGGCTCACCGGTACCAGGTCTCACTGTGCAGCTCAGAACTCCTAGTGACCCTCCTGTCTCAGCCTCCCCAGTACTTGTATTACAGATGTGCACCACCACGCCCAGCTCTGGAACCGGCATGGTGTGCCTAGGGCTCCAGGGCCAGCAGGCCATGCAGTACCAGGGATTGAACCCGGGTCCTGACTGCCAAGGTGTATTTCTAGCCCTCTCTCTTACATTTAGAAACTGTAGAGTGCCTGATCTACTCTCTCACCTGGAAATTCACCAACCAACCACAACTGCAATGAGCCAGCCCTTGACCAATAATCCCAATGTGATCAAGTCCCTGGTCAGAAACTCCTCTTGACAATTATCTCGTGTTACATATACTTCCATCAGACTGGCCAGAAAAGCAACTTAGCTACTTCTAGCATAGAGTCTTCTACGATGCCTTTTGTGGCAGAGCACCTGTACGTTCTGCAGAGCGCATTTCATTTTCCTTGTGGAATCTCAGCTAGACTACATTACCCAGACTGCCTGGCAGTTAGGTCTGCTTGGGCCTGAGTTCTGCCAGCAAGAAACAGGTAGACGTGGGTCAGTGACTCCCAAGCCTGGCCTATTTAAACTTCCTCCTGACTCTCTATTCTCACTGCCGTCTCTACCTGCTGAATACAGGGGACCCAGCAGAGGACACTGATGCCCCAGGAAAAAGACAGTAGAGTCACAGATGCAAAAACACCAGGTTTCTGAAAAAGTATAAGAACCACACACTGACCAGGAAGCCCCATACTATACTCTGCGAAAACTGAATACAAACCTACCCCGTGAGTGGTCATTTGTTACAGCAGTCAGCATTGTGATCCTGTAAAACTATTTTTCCACTGAAATCTGGTCATTGGGCCTTCTCGGCAAGGTGTGATGGCTGCCTCTCTCAATTGATCCCTGGTGTCCCGAGACAGAAATCTTTCCTTTCAATTTTTGAGACTGCACTGCAATTCTCTATTGACCTGCCTTCGCATTGGACAGAGCATTAATGCAGGAGAGGTCTGGGTTTGGGTTCCCTTTCCATCCTATTACCAAGCAAATAATAGGTGTGCAAGTTCCTTCAAATTGACATAAATTGGGATTATATTGCCTAAATTAAAGTGCTAAGATTCTGGGCTTCAAATACGGGATTGACAGTTAGAACTTTAAGAAATCCAAGAATCCTCTAATCTGGGCTTCCAATTTTGTAGATAGAAACCTCTCTGCAAAAACAAAGAGAGGTCAACAAATCCTCCAAACCATTCTGTTTTTTTGTTTTGTTTTTGTTTTTGTTTTTTGTTTTTGTTTTGTTTTTTTTTTTTTTTTTGTATTTTAGGGAAGGATCTACAGGGTGTTCAGGTTCTCACTACTAGATCGGACTCATAGTGATCCACCTGTTTACAGCCTCCCAAGAGCTGGGATTACAGGCGCATGCCACCACGTCCAGTCTCAATTGCTGTCTCAGCACATCCCGGGGGCAGAGCCAGGCTGCAGGCCTGGGGATCGAACCCCCGGCTCCTGAGCCTGCTTGCAGGTGCTTTGATCCGCTGAACCTCCAAACAATTCAGAGGCCAATTTAGATGCAAAATTGGAGGTCACCTCTCTGTCATTTAATACTTTACCCATGGCTTCACATACTAGATATATCCATCAGGATGTGGACTGTTTGCAGGTGTGGGTTATTAAATTTTTAAGCCTTACAAGTCAATTCATTTGACCTGTATTATTTATGATCTGCAACCTACATTTGGGCAGAAGCATTTAGTACTCAAAATTCCTCAGATTAGTTTCAACCATGAAAGCAAAGCCCCGTGAAACTTCAAAAATAAAACCACTCTCTTGATCCTGTAGTGTAGTCTATGAGCGGCCAACAAAACGGTATCACAGAGAAGAACTTTAAATCCCAGAGCTTTGCAAATATCATGCCATGATTGGTCAGTTCTTCCCACAATAGTAAAGGAGCATTCTGATTGGCTACTGATCTGACCAATGAAAGAGAGAATGATGGGGGAGCCCAATAAAATAAGAAATGTGAGGCTGAGCAGTATCAAGCAGAAAATGGTCCTTGTGATATCAGGAGACAGATCTGGAACCTCTTGAGGGAGAAATACAGCCCAAAGCAGCCTGCACCGGTGACAGCAAAGCTTTTAGAGTTTTCAATGACCCCAAAAGCCAGCTGTGGTTCACGTGCTGTGGGGCTGCCACCGCTGGTCTAAGCTCTCTACAGTGGATGTGGGGTAGCCTTCGAGGCCACTTTACACCATTCTGGAGCAAGAGAAGTGGAGGACAAACCAGCACACAGTAAAGCACACACTTCACTTAGGTGACCTCAAGTTCCCTTGTGCCGTTTTAATGTGACCTTGTACTGCTATATCTTTACTTCCAGTGACCAGCACTGTAGCTCTTTCCTGCTGGGCTCTATCCATGTCACAGGTGCCCACTCTGCTTAATATGAAAGGCCCAGCACCCTCCTAGCAGGTGAGGACGGTGCTCAGAGGTCCACTACACTCCAAAATGGCTCCGTAGAATCAGGCTGCCCACTGGAGGGATCATGCCTAGGGTCACAGCCTTGTCCCTCTCCTGCCTCTCCAGCTCCCTTTCTTTGGGGAACACTTCCTTAATAAATTACTCCCAAATCCTCATCTGAGGCTTTGTGTTGTGAATTAAATTTTGTTCCCCGAAAAGTCAAGATACGTTATAATTCCAACGTCCAGCACTTTTGGATGCAGTTTCATTTAGAATTAAGTAAGGTCTTTGCGAATGTAGTTAGTAAAGAGGCCATACAGGGTTAGTGTGGCCTTACCTCCAATCTTACTTGGTCTTTCTACACACAGAAGGATGGGAGAATGAAGTCCATTGTTTAAGCCTCTGGCTTGTGGAGATGTGCATGGCTTCAGAGGTAGCCACCTAAGACCCAAGGGGAGTCCTTGGGTCTTCAGGTGAAAGCTTGGACTCCCCAGGCAAAGGAAAGGCTCTCAGACCTGCCCTCCACAGCACGCCACCCACACTCCACTACCCACACACCTGCTTCATCCTGGGATTCGCAGGCCATCCCCAAAAGCCCATCGGCTCACCTTATTGCATTTTCTCACCTGATCAGCTTCCTCCATTCCTGGCAAACTTCTTCCAAGTTTCCCCTTTGACATCATGTTTCTCCCACTTCCCCATAAAGGCTAGCTGCCCTTTCCTCAGATCCTGTTTACACTGCAAACCCCTGCAGGCCTCCCCAGGCCGTGCAGCAACTCCAGCACATGCGCTGACCTGACATAGCTCCTGGCAGGACCAGCACCAGGGGCTCTGCTGAGGGCCCTTCTGGCCCCAAGTTACCAAAGAAAGATGGGGTGAGGCACAAGGGTGCCAGCCGGAGGGAGGAACCAGACTCCTTCCTCGCTAGGTCTGGGGACAGCTGGCCTTAAGGGGTCCTACCAAACCCCACTCCAAACAAAACACTGCTACAACCTTGGCACCTGAAGCCATAAAGGTAGCACCTCCACGGGCAGTGGCGGCTGCCACCAAGCGATGCTAGTCTCATTCCTGGCTTAGAACACCAGAGTGAGGTTTGCAGTTTGGGGTAAGAGTCCTAGCCACATAAAGAGGTGGTGAGGAAGCTGATTTTGGACTTTGTAACTCCAGAAGAGATCACTGAGAAATTTGAAAAGGAAGCCCAAAATAATGACAAGAAAGGCAAAAACTTAAAACTATACATTGAAGAAAAGGATGGGGAATGCTATGGTTTTGTTTGTTTTTCTTTATTTATTTTTTGTTTTGTTTTGTGTTTGAGACAAACTGTGTGTAGCCCAGGCTGGCCTCAAATTCCTGATGCTCTCGTCTCAGCCTCCTCAGTGCTGGGACCGCTTTGATGAACTTTCTGGTTGCTTGTGATAAAGAAGCTGTTAAGTAGAAAATTACTTAAATACTACACACAGAAGAACATAAGTGAATATATTAGGGGTGTGTGTCTGGTGCCTAATTTTTAAATAAGATTAAAAAGTTAAAAAAAAAAATTGTGAGTTCTTGCATCGCAGTTCTAAAAGCCCTGACCCCAAACAGCCTGGAACTTGTTACTCTGATTTCCTGGCCCACTACCCTAACAGCTGGAAAGGATATTGCAGGTGACCTGGTGTAACCCCTGGCATTCTGGGATAGAGCTTCTGATATCCGGAAGATGAGAGGCGCAAGATCACACCAAGCAGGATGATGAGCAGAACCCACCAGCGCCCTGCCTTGCAGGTGGGGGCATCTACCCTGATTATAAACTAAAATAGTATTATGTGTTTCTGCTGTGGGCCAGGGTTGCTTCTACTGCAGCTTACAGCGGACAGATGAAAACCTGTCATACCGCTTATCAGACGTAACTTACATTTTAAGGATCTTGTGTAAATGTAAAGGTGGTTTTACTCTCTTAAGAATGCTATTGAGCATTTTGTGAAAAAGTAATCAAGATTTGTCACTTATGTTTTAAAAAGTCGCAGAGTTTTTCTTTCTCCTCACCAGTCCCTTGCAGGCATCAAATTCCAGGAGTTCTTATCATTCTCCAAAGATCTTTGAGAGAATAAAGAGGACCTAAGAGCTGTTTTCTGTGTCTGTAAAGGACTACGATAGCTATGTTAAACCTCAAAAGGTTAATAAATGTATTTTCACATAAAAGCCTATATAATTAACCTAGCCACACTGAACCTCAATGCATCGGTGTAAAGCAGAAATGAACTAATCCATACCAAGTGCTTAAAGCCACGTGTTGGCACATAATAGACACTAGGTGTATATTACTATTATCATTATCATTATTTTAATGTATTTGGTACAAGGTCTCACAATGCAGCTAAGACTCCTAGTGATCCTCCTGTTTTCAGCCTCCCCAGCACTGGGATTAC